TGGTTCATGTCTTCCAGACGCGCGTTTAAAGATGTCTTCTTGTCTGATGGTTGTTTCTGCTCTGTCTGGTTTCCTGGATGCTGTTTCAATCTGTCTGACCTCATGTTCATCATTGACCTCTGCAGTCCCTCCCTCTGTGATGTAGAGCTCTGTGTAGATCTGGTTCAGAAGAGTTGGGTTTCCTGCTTTAGCGATTCCGTCAGACACACACTGGAACTTCTTCTTCAAGTTGGACTTGAGTTGTTGTCGACATATTGGAACAATAATCCCTAAACAAACAAGAAAGGTAATTAAATAGTGAATGCCTTGATAAATCTGGAAAATGTAAACTTTTCAACGTTGTGTGTAAATGTTTTCTGCTTCCAAAAAATGTATTCATCACATCAGTTGTAGACAACCAGTTACTGAGTCGTTTTAGTCCAGAGGAATTCATGCAGATGTTTGCATCATATCAAAAGCAGAGTTTGGGAACGTAAATGTATCCCATGTTGCCTCTCCAAGGTGTCAGAAAGGTTCCAGGACTGGTGTCACAAAAGATATATTTCAAACCCAAACTACAAACGACTGGTTTTCCCCTTATGACAGTTTTCAAAGTCTTACAGGGTTTTGATATGTCCAGGAAAAACAACAGTACAGGGAGAGGGGTGGTATGAACTCTACTGTAGCTGGCTGGAGAGCCTGCTCCAGCCCCGGCTGCCAGTCATCACAGCTGATTAGCCTGGAGCTCCAGACCTGCTCTCCACGCCTGCCGTTCCTGATTGGACCACCACCCAGTTCCCTCCACCTTCAGCAAATCAAACTGCAGCAATCAGAGAATAAACCTACATCCAACCTCACAGTCAGGGCGGCTGGGATTTAGAGTGAACCGTTTGCCCTGTTGCCTCTTGTCTTTGTATTGAAATGTAACTTATGTTGGCAGCTGCTCACTCATTGTGGGAGTTACCCTGTCTTGGTGAAGACTTTAACTCCAGTTAGCAGCTCTCCAACTTAGTTTAGGAGTTAGTTGAGTCTTGTCTGTTCTGTGTGTTTTAAGGTACCCGTTTGTTTAGTTTCTTTTGTTAGTTGTGGGTGTTGCTGTTGGATTTCAGTTTGGAGAAGGAGTTTAGTGTTTTGTTTTTATTTTAGCTAGCTTTTGTAACTCTGTTAGCCTCCATTTGGGTCTTATTTGGTTCTTTGATTTCATAACTTCCACCAGCCCTGTTCTCTTTGTGTTATCACTGTTTTTATATAAATATTCCCTCTTGTTCGGTGTTTTTCAGATCTGTTAAGAGTTGGTTTGATCAGTACAGTTGGTTTGGGCTGTTATTTTGTTGCTTATAGATTTAGTGAAGTTCTGTTTTTTTGACCTCTTTTATGGACCCAAATTTAGTATTGTTTCTTGAAACTTTTGGGTTTTTAAAAAAATTCATCAGTAAGTCTTTGTGCTTTGCAGCAAAATCCATAAACATAAAATCCTCTTACTGCTCTGCAGACGGTCAGCCAGATCCTCCTGCTTCATTCTCCTCAGGAAGTGCAGAGTGATCTTCAGAAATGACTCTCTGCTGCTCCTCCTCTGATCTTCATCTTCACCCTCCAACACCTCCTCCTCTTCCTCCCTCTGACTCTCTAAGCATTCTGGGTAATCTGGACTCAGAACCTTCTGCATCTTCTTCAGCTCTTTCCTTGTTAAACTGACAATGTTCTCCTCCAGCAGCTGGAACAGAGAAATATATTGAGTTTATTCTCAACTGAAACTGAAGACAAATTAAAATTTTTGTTAAAATCCATTTTTGAGAGCAGTGTGAACAATATTAGGACCAAAACCATAGTTGAATTGGAACCAACTTCTGGAACTGTTTCAACAGTAACTTTACATTAAAACCGTCATGGAGGTTGGATTTATTGGATTAGACTGTAATATTTGGACCTAAATGGATCAAATAAGCTGCTCACTGAGAGTCTGTTTCATGCTTCATCAGTAAATCAGAACAAATTCTTCAGTCAGGTCAATGTGACAGTAAAGTGTTGAATGTAGAATAGTTCTCACCATAAACACAGAGTCCAGATCTGTTTGATGCTGAGGGACAGACTGACCTCTGAGATCCTCTGAGCTCTGCTGCTTAACGCTGCAACAACATTCAACTTTAGCACATTTGCACTTTGTTAAAGGAGTTGTGTTCTATAGTGATGAATCCTGACAGAAACACAAAGTGATCTCTAATGTAAACGCTGTTCTCATTGTTGGATGTGATGTTTTCAAAGAGGAAACACAATCAACACAAACACTGTAGGTTCTGCACTTAATTTATTTAATTATTGATAGTCTATAGATTATTGTTTGTAGGAGAGAACTGATCTTACCCTCCATGAACAGACTGGTGTCCATCTTTGAACTGAATGGGATGAACTATAGACCGATGACTCTTCATGGACACACAGCTGGGTTGAGGAGAGGCTGGTCTTTCCTGATTCATCCTGATAGAAACAAAACCACCAACATACAAGTGTAACTTAAAGGGATCCTCCACTGAAAATCTTTGATTTATCAAATACCCACTGTCTCTGGGGTCCGAAAACTAGAAGTTGCTCCACATTTTACACTTTTTAATGCTGGCTGTCAAATAGTTTTCGGCTTTATCTTGAGATTTTATTGATTAAAGGTTCTCTGTGGCTCCAAACTATGAACCTGCAGATGTTCCTATGTGAGATTTATGACTACAGGGAACCTGGTCTTTGCTGTGATGGCA